CCGGCATGGGGCGGGAGCTGCTGCCACCGGCTGCGGAGGATGGGCAGTGCTGAGCTAAGCTGGGCACACCGGGAATAAACCCTTCAAAGCCCCCTTTTCGCTGCTTAAATTAACGATATGTCCACGGTCTGTTTTTTAGGTTATAGTGGTTTCCATTCAGCCCTCGGTGTTTACCCCACGATCGGCGCCTTCCTCAGGCAAACAAGGCTTTAGGCCTGAAGGTGAAGCAGCCACAGCCCGGCCTCTTGTCTACGGTAAACAAAGTTAACGGCAGAAATACTGCATTGGGCTCTGCAGTGTGTCCTTCAGAAAGGACTGTGTGATGGGCTTGTCTACAAAAGAGAAGTGTCAGGAAGGATATGGAATTTACAGAAAAACACCCTGCAAAATGATGTTTTTGTTCCATATCTGATATTTTTTATATTGCCACCCCAGGTCCGTGCCTTCCCCAAATGGGGGAAGGCTGTTGGCAGTGGTGGCCGTCACTGTGGTCATGGTGGAGTTTGGGGTTTCTGTTCACTGTTAGGTCTGTGCTGTGCTGCTCCAAAGAGAAGGGCAAAGCACATGGCCAGACAACACTAAAAATCAATCTGTAATGCAGGTGATTCCTGGGACATTGAGAGAAATAGTTGTACCACTAAAATTATAAAACAAACAAAGAAACCCCACACCAACCGCTCACTGCCAGCTTTAATTCTGTGGGTACCAACTCCCAATGATTGATTTATTGGTTTCATAAAAATCGGTATGTTTTTAATGGGTCTTGAGTTGTGTTCCTAACTGTTTTTGTTCCTTTGTTTCAAATTATTTCTATAGTGTGTCCATGAAAAAGCCCACTCTTAAGTGATTTTCAGAGACTTTGCAGTGATGGTGTTTTAGTACCACATTATATTGGCAAACTTAGGTTCAGTCCATTAATGCACCAGAAAGATGCAACATAATTTGTCATAACAAATCCATTATCAGGCTTTTCCCTTCAGGTTAGGGATGTAATCCAGCTGTCAAATTCACGGTCACTTTTATGTAAACTAATTTTACCATTAGATCATATTGGTTTTTCCATTTGAGAGAGACTTGACTGAGGTTGGCATTGGTGGCCAGGGTGGTTTTAGCCAAGAGCTGTCAGACTGTCAGCTTTTAAAGCACAGTTACTGTTCACAGATGTTCTCCAGGTTCATTAAGCCTTGGTGAATACAGAGACTAAACAGTAGTTTTAATAATTTCCTGTACGGCTGCCAATTTGCTCTTCTTGTAAAGCTTGCACTGGTATGTCAGTCTGTTTGATGTGTCTTTCATGGCCCTTGTGATACCTTTCTGTGTTTAACGTTTCTTTTGATTTTTTTTTTCTCGTTGCTTCAGGTTGAAAAGATGGGGAATGCTGAAAGCAATGCCTATCAGAATCACCTTTCCAGATTTCTTCCAGAGGAGCAGTCTGACATTGATGGACTGTTTGACACCTTATCAGGATCCAGTGGCTCATCTGGAGCAAAAAATTCCAAAGCTGCAAAGAAAACTGTGACTCTGGCAGCACTACAGGTAGGACAGTCTGTTATTCATCATATAGCTGGGATGTAGTGCATTGAACAGAATTCCAGAAATAAAATATAAAGATGTGGTATTTTTTAAGGATTGCTCATCTCAATTTTTCATATTTTGTGGCAGGATGGATATTTAACTTTTTCTTGCAGTTTAACCAGAGTAGTGACTTTCAGGTTTGCATTTATCTCTTAAATTGCACTTTTGTGTCCATTTGCAGTTTTCCTAATTCTGAAGTAAGTTAGGTTGTATGGAGATATTTTCATAGAGACCTGAAAAATGGGAAGAATATTTTTACCCCTGGAGTCTGTAGTGTGGGATCATTTACAGATTGTCTTGAGGAGCTGTCACAAAGTCAATTTTTATTTGGTTATGCCTGTCTCCCTTGACATATCACTCTCTCTAATCTCTTCACTTGTACTAAAAGCAGAGAATTCAATTTGACTTGATTAAGCTGTGGCTCCCTGTTTTAGCTAATTAACATGCATTATGCTTCTGATTAACTTTGCATTCATTTTCTAATCAAGAAAAGAGAAAAATGAGTCATTGGGAGCCTTAATAACTTCAGCTAGTCAGGAACTAAGTGGCCAAATGAATGTGGTGGTAAAGTGCAGTTTGATGTATATTATACAGATAATGGAGTCCAATTAAAGCTCATTGAAAGCAGCAGGTTATTTTAAGGTGTTCAGCAAAGCCTGTGCATACAGACCAGCCTCAGCCTTCCTGCAGCCTGGCTGGCTCTGAGCTGCCACCAGTTTTTGGAGCACCAAGTTTGGAAATGCTGTTCTGCTGCTTGGTTTTTCAGCACTAGTTCATCCACTGTTCTTGGTGCCAAAAATCAAAGGTAAAAGCAGACAGCAGGTCTATATTTTGAGTATTTGCTTTTACTCAGATTAATAAGTCTTTCAGGTAATTTTTTGAGATATCTGAACATCCTTGTTTGGGACCTGGCAGAAATTCTCATTCTAGCTTTGCCCCAGATCAGTGTGATCTTTGATGAACCTTTGCCTTTTCCCTTCCTGCCTTTTGTTTGCCAGCTTAAATTAAAATCTTTTGGAAGACTTGCTGTAGGTGCAGGGAGAATGGCAATGGCATTTGTGCCTTGTAGATGACAATGCTCATGCCTGGACTGAGCTGTGACAGATTTGATCCAACAACAATCTGGTACCACTGATCCCAAACATCTGGACCAGGACAGGCTGCACTGCATAGCTTGGGAAGCAGGTGGAGCAGGAACCTCTTGATAATTTCATGAAGCCTTTTTAAAACAAGGGTTCTAAGCTGTCAGAGGTGTGAGTTAGATGGTTATTAAGGATTCCTTTTTTACACAGCTCTTTTTTTTCACACTCTTTGGAATAGCTAGAAGCAAAATGCAACAGCTCAGTGAAGTGGTGGGATTGGGTAGGGAGTAGGCAGGTAAATCAGCAGTGTGAAGTAAAAAACCATGAGTATAATGCTTTAGTTGTGTTCCCTGCTGCCTCTCCCACTCGAGGCTCATACAGGATTTTCAGAAAGCCTCTCAAAGGCAGCTGTACCCCCTGTGAGCATCCCTCCCTCGCTGTGGAGCTCTCTGATGTGATGCTGTGGCTGCTGGAATCAATGGGAGCTGTGGCACTGACGTCAGTGCCAGCAGCACACAGCTCAGGGTGCTGGAGCTCTCATGCCCAGCAACAGCCATGAACAGCTGTGGGATCTCAGCACCTCAGGACTGAGGTGCCGAGCCACCGAGACCACCCTTGGGGGGCTCGGGAGTCCTGGAATGTTCCAGAAGTGTCTGGTGGCTGGACTTTGATCCTACATGGGAGACGACACCTGTATGAGGATAGGAGGGTTTCACCGGGGTGAATGGTGAAGGGATTAGTTAATTAGAGGGTGAGACACAGGGTTTAGGATTTATGTACAGGGGGGTTTAGAGAAGTAAGATGGAGGAATTGGGGCGTGTCCTGTCCTTCTTCTTCTTCTTCTTCTCCTCCATCTTCTTTGGTGATGGTGGCACTTTGGGATTGGTCATTACTGAAAGTGCACCGGACAATAAAAATAAATGGTATTGGGGAAAAATGATAAATATTGTACACGTAACTTTGGGTATAAAGATAGGTGACTGTCCGGAGGGCTACACAGTGTGCTCATGGCTGGCTGCTGAGCAGAGCTCTGTCGGGCTGAAAGA